ATTGGCCTCAATGATTTGGGATCGAGGGGGATTATCCCTCTTTATCCTGCCTCATCTCGTGTAGGCCTGGACAGCCTTCGTAGGTGGGCCCCATCCGTCGTCTACCCCGACCGCAAATGCGGCCGGTGTAGGCGCTTTGTGGGACCTCCTTTTGTCCTGGCTGGGCCCCGCCGGCTAGGGCCCTTTCTTCTGGCGCTCTTCTTGCTTCGCCGGCTCGTCTGTGTAAACCCCGGGGGTAGTGTCATGTTTATGTGTAGTATGGTTGGGTAGGGTAGTGCGGCTATGCAGCCTGGGACGCGCTTTGCTAAGGTGAGGCTCCGAAGTGTTTTCACCAAAGTCGCTCTATAAGCCAATCTAGGTGGTCTGTGATCCTACCCAACCATACCACACATAAACATGGCACCACCCTTGAGGTGCTTTCGTTTTGGCAAAATTGGTACCTAATAGCAACTAATATCAGTTCAGAGTAACTCTAAGTTGCTATTAGTTGCTGATAGCTACTATTCTTGCCAAATCGAAAGACGCTCTGGTGTATAGCGGACACTAGAGCTCTATTATATGTTTTGTGACTAGAGGGTCTTTCGATTTGACAAGAATAGTAGCTATCAGCAGCTAATAGCATCTTAGAGTTACTCTGAACTGATTTTAGTTGCTATTAGTGACCATTTTTGCCAAAACGAAAGCACCTTAGAGCACTCTAATTTGGTAAGATCTTTGTTTACATGGAGTTCGTTCATTTTGTTCTCTCGTTTAGTCTCCGTAGTTGATCAGCTGATGAACGCTTTTAAAAAAATAGGTTAAAAACAAAATCCAATACAAAAGTATAGTAAAAAATAGGAATGTGATCATGAATTTTTTAAATGCAAACAGTTTTTTTGATATGTGTATATCTGAGGCTTGTTTTTCTCAAGGAAATGTAGAAGAAACTTTAAAAATGTTGTATAATTGTGAATATCCTATTTTCAAAATATGTATTTACCTACTAAAGAAAATAATATTTTAGATGGATATAGAACTATTGCTATTAATTATTTAGTAGATGATGGAAATATTGAACATAAAAAAAAGAAAAAAAAAGGAGATTCTCGAAGCACTTTTGATCTGGTGCCTGTTCCTTACATTACAGAAAAAGTTAAAGACTGGGTATCTAAATTAAAATTGGAAAATTTCGAGGTTTTAAATAGATTAACTATAGCATTTTCCAATCAAGAATTACTACATAAAATCGTGAGTTGTTTTCTATTCACTATTTAATCAACAAAAAAAATTTTTTTGTGTATATTTTAAAAGCTGCTAAATGCATGAATTAATGGTTGGTTTATAAAAAAGTATTAGTCCTAACTTAGCCATAACTTAACCTTAATCTTAGTCCTAAAAAGTTAAATGTACAGAATGTAATGTATCGGTTTATAAAAATCTTATCCTTGCCCTAGTCGTAAGGAGGTCTTAAGACATGACCTTGAAAGTTCGCATCTTTTAATTTTTTAAGGATTAAGACTAAGATCTGAGAAGTGCGCATGCACAAGTATTGCATTTCGTAGCATAGTAGTCTCCTGTCTTTGTCTATGGTGGTCGCCATTACGCCATTACCATAGTAATAGGTTATATTTTTCTTTTCACTCGCCAACAAAACAAATAAAATAACATTACCACAGAATAATAAACAAGTATTATGCTGTGATATTACTAGCCATGCGCGTAGTCGAATCGCTCATTGGTTAATCTTAATAAAATTAGGACCACACATTGTTTTTATAAACGTGTACCTATTCTTAGGACTAATACTAAGATTAGTGTAAAGGTTAATACTAAGACTAAAACTGAGTTAGGACTAATACTTTTTTATAAACCAACCATAAAATAACTTATAATTTGTCAGATTTTTAAATAGTTTTTATTTTATATATATTTTATTTCAATCTATTAGGGAAAATTATAGTGAGATTCTCACATAAAAATTTTGTAAACCTATACTAAATATACAGGAAAAGAGGATCCATCTAATTCCCAGTTTTGTGGGAGCTTAGAAAGCTCATGGGTAATGTGGTCAATGCTGTCACATCCAAGTATACATTCCTGAAAAAGAGGCAAGCTGTTCAGAATTTGTGGGCAAATTTTACTTTAACTTCTTGCTAAAGAGTTTATTAAACCAATGATACTGATTCTGAATTGCTAGATATTTTTATGCAAAACAAGATGTGTTTGTTTATTACGCTACATACTGCCACTTTTGAAATAAGATTTCAAAGGTAATAATGAGATGAAGCATCTGTAAAACAAACAGGTATAAGGATATTGTATATAATTTATTACAAATTGTATTATTAAGGTAGTTCAGTCGGTAAGACAGAGACAGAGTGCTGTGCGACAAAGAGAGAGCGAGACCATTGCACGTGTGTATGTGTGTGGATTAGAAAAGTCCAGTGTAATTTTAAAATTCCTGTCAGATAAGAATTCTTTAATATTATCAAACTTCCAAGCATCAACTTGTCCGCTCATTTTTCTCAATTTAGTCGCCATTCAAGCGAACTTATTCATTATCGATGTTTTAAAAAATTAATTACTGTCATACTAAATGGTCAATAATTTTTTTTGTACCGAAAAATTAAAAAAATATTCTACGCATACAAAAATTTGTGCATAAACGGTAAAAGTGGTTTATGAGAAATATAACGAATCCCTATCTCCCACGTGTTAATTCTTTAAATATTGAAAATTAATTTCTAAAAAACGAAATGGTCAATCGATTTAAAATTTAAATATGTTATTCAGAACTGCTTTAACTATTAAACTAAAAATTTGCGTATGAGTCTTAAGCCTACATTTTATTTGAAGAAATTACCTTAAGAGTATAAAATAAAAGAAACTGTTACATCAGTAACTAACAAGAGTGTGTATGTGTATATATTTTTTGAAATTATATTAACTTTTTATCTTTCAGTAGTGTCAAATAAAAATGAATAATTATAAAAGTATCCAATTTTATTGACTAAATTTTAGTTGATGAAAGATTAAAAATTTTTATTTATTTGTACTTTTAATGTAATTTTCAATTAATTGCTTACATAAAAATATCTACTGTTATAATTCGCTTCTCATTGCAGGGATTTCGGAAACGGTAAGAGAAGATACAAGTAGCTTAAATGGGGGCAAAGTTGCATAATCAGGGGATCAACATTATGTCTCTAAAAAATCAAGGCTAACATGATTAGTTTTCGAAATATTTGAAAATAAAATAACCGAAATTTTGGAAATCTGTTTTTGTTTTATTTTAACCTTGTCTGAAGTGATATTGAAAAAACAAGAACACTTTCTTATGGCAACTTTTTACCCTCTATTGAATGGCATAATCAATTTTTACGTGTAACGTTTCGTCTCTCCAGGATCATCATTAACTTCATTTTTGTAAGTACAACCCTGGAAATTTTATTATATTTTTTGCAAGCATTCATGGCTGCCAATACTGTACTGCTTCAACTTGAACCAGATTCAGACGTTTTGTCTCGAAAAATCCATCTTCAATGTATTCGTTCCAAATTTATCTAAATTTTTTATTTAGATTTCTATATTGAATTATCGTGCACTCAAGTGTCATTAGACTTTGTGAAATCCACCTAGTTATTAAAACTATTACCATCACACGTTACAATAAAATATTAGAGTTTTAATCCCGTGCTCATAGTTATTTCTAGGTTTCTCGAGTGCTCAAAATTCAAACAAATTTCGATCTAATTTTTTTCACGATATCTATACACATACATCTTACATACTCTTTCACAGTTGCAGTTACAGGTATAATAAATTCCGATCATATTACGCTTATCTTCATTTTCAACATTTACCAAGACATTTTTGAACATTTACTGTAATTTTTTAAAGTATAATATTCATTTGGAGTTTTGGTTGTTCATATGCATTTTTCAGAATTAATTTCTCATAATGAAATTAAAGTTGTAATAATGTTTTAATTTTGACGCAACAACTCATTGAGTTATGTATGACCAGGTGATGGAAAGTAAATAATGTTTTATTGTAACGTGTGATGGTAATAGCTTAAATAATTAGGTGGATTTCACAGGGTCTAGCGATACTTAGAGTATACAATGATTCAATAAACAGAAATCTAAACAAAAAATTTAAATAAATTTGGAATGAATTAATTGAAGATGATATTTTCAAGACAAAACGTCTGAATCTGGTTTGGGCTGAGACAGTACAGTATTGAAAATGAAGTTGAGGATGGTCCTGGAGAGACGAAACTTTACATATAAAAATTGTGTATGTCACTCGATAGAGGGCAAAAACTTGCCATGAGAAAGTGTTCTTCATTTTTCAATATCACTTCAAACAAGGGTGAAATGAAACAAAAACGGATTTCCAAAATTTCGGTTATTTTTAAATATTTCGAAAACTAATCATGTTAGCCTTGATTTTTTAGAGGCATAATGTTGGCATCTGGTATAATACAAGATGAAAATGGATTAGAATTAGACTTAATTTCAGAATTTACTAATTTCCATATTGATTTACTTTTACAACTGGACCCTAGTATTTCTTGTATAAGCTGCATGTTTCTCCTCTTTTAAAGTGCACCTGTATTCACTGCAAACATTTCTATAAACTTCCCAATCACAACTAAGATTTGTAATGTTAAAGTGGTGCTTTTAGAAAAACATATTTCTACGCTTCTCTCGAAGATGTTGGTTGAACCATTTATGATGAAATTTGCTATGGCCGTTTCCAGTCCGCACATATGGAAAACATACATCAACTTGGGTTATCAAAAGGTTCAACAATACATTTACCACTTTATTTGATCTTAAACTATTCAAATTAGTCCAACACATACTACTCAATATTTTTACGAAATTAATAATTCTGTTTTCATTAATTGCCCTAACCATCACCTTACTATTATCTTTGAAAACAGGAGCTTGATGGTTTCTCAATATAATAATAAAAATAATAACACTTTATCTGTCCAAAAGTATAACCATTTACACGACAATCCTATATAAGTATTAAAGTGAGGAAAGGAAAAAAAATTATACATAATAAAATTAACTGATGGGTTGCACTAAGAACACAGCATTACTCAAAAATATATTAAAAAAAAAACAAACAAAAGAACAAAAAATAATTCATGCAAATATTCTACTCGCTACAGTTAGATATAATAACAATTAAGTATAACTGTTTTTAGTTGCATCAAAGAGATCAGTAAGAGAACAGTTGAAAATTACAGATAGAATTATAATTATAAAATATCCTGACAAGTGGTGACTTCAATAAAAGATTCTTTGTAGCTAAAGGAGTGAGAAAGGTAGACCAAGAACGATTTGACGTTCTAAGAACTAGAAAATAAAGTTCTCTAAGAATTTCTGGACAGTCGACATCATTACGTAAGAGGGAATGTAAGAATTTAAGTAATAGTAGCGTCTCCTAAAATCTAACGAATTAAGACCGAATCGGCTAAGTAATAAGTTATGGTGACAACCATGCTTCGGATATATACCGTCAATGCGATATACAAGATATTTTAAAAATTTTCTTACGTTTATGAGTAAACGACATCGTTTTGCATTTATTGTTGTTAAAAAAAAACTTGTTCAAATTTCACCATCGGACCATATGGTTTAGCTGCAGCTGAAACTTTACACAATCATCAACCAATTTAACGGCATTGAGCAATTTCAAGTCGTCTGCAAAGAACAATTTTTCACAATCAATTACGCTATTAAGTTCATTAACAAACAGAGAGAAAAGTAACAGACCTAAATTCGACCGTTGCGGAACACCAGATGATATTATTATAAGGAACGGAATTAAATCCATTATATGTAACGCATTGAAAACGATTAGACAAGTAAGACCGGAACAAATTGACCAGGTGGCAAGAGAATCCATAACCGCTCATTTTAGATAGTAGTAATAAGTGATCAACCCGGTCAAATGCTTTGGTGAAATTCGTGTAAACAACATCCACCTGCTCTAACTTGTCCACGTCCTCAGAAACAAACTGAGTGAAACAAATTAAATTAGTATTAGTGAAGCGTTTTTCCATAAAACCATGCTGGTCAACTGAGATAATATTGTTTGCGAGTGGGTAGATACGGTTATACACGTAGTCCTGTAGTCAGGGGGGGGGTCCCAATTATCTCCTTCATTTAAATGGAGTTACCCAAGTGTTTTTTGTGTATTTTGAACTGCAGAACACGAATTTTTTGGGTAGAAGTTTGCCCGGATGTCGATAAGTTTTTTATTAACAAAAAACTTCCAAAATACTGAAAACTTAGTTTTTGGCAATAATAATAATAATTTTCTTGTTCTTTGACCCAATTTAAGAAGAAAATGTCTCTTGCAATTTTTTTGTTAAACGCACAGTTTTCGAGATAAACGTTAAAAATTCGAAAAATTCAATTTTTGCGATTTTCAATCATTAATAACTTTTGATTGAATAGGTATTTTGTAATTCTGTTGATGGTGTTTGAAAGTTCACGTTAAATACTACAAATTATGAGTAATTGCAGTGTGAAAATTTGTTTTTCCACTATTTGAAGCTATAAACAAATAGCGATTGAGCATTCAGAAGGGTGCGCCGCCATGTATGTTAGAGAGCGGTTGCCTTCTTACAGGCGTTTAATACACGATCTTGACGCGTACTCTTCATTTCTAGACCAAAGAAACGATGAAACCTGAACGAAACATTAACAATTTAATAAAAATTTGCAATATTACAATAATTAAAATTAAAACAGTAAATAAGTAATAGTTACGATTTTCTAACCTGTAAAGGTTTCAAATATTTTTATTCTTACAAGTATTTTTTTTTGCACAGAAAGTGCAGCAAAGTATTTGAAGTCGATTGCAATTACATGATTTTGTGCTGCACATTGCACAATTGCAGGCAGCTGGTAATTCTTCGGGAGGTGGTGTTAAGATGTTTACCCTCTCTGGCAACAGTAGATCGTCTTTAATAAAAAATCCATATGAAGTTGGATCTAATTTGTTCATATGTGAATTTAAAACATTCGTTTGAATATGAACAACGTAAAAAGCCCGTAAGATGTGAAGTCTAATAGAATCAGAAGTCGGTTGCAAATTTTCTATTATAGAATTTTTGTGTTTATAAATTCAAATCCTTAATTCATTAAATGATTTACAACTGCAATCAACATTTCTTATAATAACTAAGAACTCTTCAGCTTTTTTCACGCTATCTTTTTTACTTATTTCGGAACAATCTGCAAAATAATTTCAAAATGAAGAAAGAAAAGTATTACAGTTATTTTGAAATATCAAAGATATAATGTTTGGTTAATTCTAATTTGCTTTGTAAACATTATCATACGATTTATATGAAAAAAATTAGCGAAATTATATTAGTTTTATTTATAAACTATAATAAAAAGTTTATACTTACTGTTAAGATAAATGTTAATTAATAATTCGGTTATACACTTTTATTAACAAAAATTTATAGGAAGTGAACAGACTGTATGTGACCGCTTCAAACATTCATATCTGAATCATCCTATCTAATGCCTCTTCACCGGGTGTCGCCCGAACGCTTGATCTCTGTTTGTTTTGGTTATCCGGCGTTTGTTTATAAAACGCCGATATACAGAGTGCCTCCAGTTCGCCCTGTCTGGAGATGAATATTCCTTAACATTCGGCCGTCCTGACTTAGTCCGTCCCGGACCACACCCACTGAGACATATACCTGAAACTAAATCACTCTACACAGTATCAATGATATCAACAACAGGGCAAAAATTTCCTAGAAGAGAAAATAAAACGAAAACGTACTTCTTCAAGTACACAAAAATACATAAACAAATGGACAAACATTATTCTCAGAGAGCACACACGTCGGGGACTCGACAAGAAAATCACTTGGAGTGCGCAAATGATACTCATATCCTAATGGACTCAACAAGCCTACCTTCTCAGAGTGCACACACATCGGGGACTCGACAAGAGGATTACTTGGAGTGCGCAAAAGGTGATCTAATGGACTCAACAAAGTTTATTCTCAGAGTGCACATACGTTGGGGACTCGACAAGAAGATTACTTGGACTGCGCAAAAGATATCTGTGACCTAATGGACTCTACAAGATTTATTCTCAGAGTGCAC